GAAACGTATTATATCTTTGTATGTATTGATACAATATATTTGACAACATGCAAACACTCTACTTGTTTCTTAAAGAGACTTACTGGCCTATGTATACATCCCAATAATTCAAAAGGAACTAGATATTTTTCGCGAGTGTGTTTGGAATAACCACAGAACACATAAGCAGAAAGGACTGCCAGCAGGAATTCCAGAACACATATTCCATTTTCCAGAGAAGTATGGTGGGGAACAATGTGGAATTGATATTACAGAAGAACAACTGCTTGAGGTTTCTGAGTTATCAAATGTTTTGGAAGACAATGATGATTATTTAAGACCAGCTGTTGGTGAAGAGTGTAGGAAGCATTTGCCCCAAATACATGAAATTAATCCCACTGATGCTAAGGAAGCTTATTTATACTTAAAGAGTCATGTTGATGTGAATATTTTTTTAAGACACAATAGGAACTCGCTTTATTAAAATCGTATTTTGAAAACTGAACTTAATCAAGTAATTTGAACAAAAACATTATTACTGTCAATCAAACTTGATTTAAAATGTCAGTCAAAAATTAACTATATTATCTACATTTCTTTGAGCTTAAGCATAAGGCAAAATTTGTTGCAAACATGCTCTACCTTAAACCTATCAATGGCATCTGTCGAAAGGTTGCCACAGCAAAAGAAAATTGTCCTGTCAATCTCATCAATAAGAGTTGAACTTGCAACCTCTGGATCAAACAAACTATGATCTACTCCCTGGATGTCCAAAACCATTAGCTGTTCTCCAGACTTCTCATAGGTATAGTGACAGAATGATTCTGCCTTGAGTGTTACCTCACAACTCCCACAAACTTCACCAGTGTTGTTCACATACTTTTGAAATTCACCCTCTACATAATTTTCCAATGTTACAAACTCACTATAAAGCCTTCCAAAGTAAACATTTGTGTAATTTAGAACATGACCATACTCAATGGGAGCCTCACTTGCTAATGTTTTGGCAAAGTTCCTAACTAGTGCATTCATTTGCACTGCTTTTCTTGTGTGCTCCTCAATTGATTTAAACAGCTGCTTAATTTCCCCAACTTTTTCTTCTCGAACTTTTTTTAGCACATATTTTCCTGGCTGCAACCCTGATATGGGGGTGGCAATTTATGCATCTCTGACACCTCCACTTGCAAATTTCTGTTTGGAAATAGAGAGTGTAACTTCAAACGGCCGAGCCCATGTCTTATCACATATTTTGAATTCTTCAATATATAGTATAACTATTTCCTCTGTTGGTTGAATTATTTTACCAAGTTTAAGCATAGCACTCAGAGGAACAGAGGCTGCAACTTTTGTGGATATTGATGGAGGCTTTTTCGTTGGGGTCTCATGAGATTTCCACCGTTGATTGAAACTGATTTCTATTTGACACAATTGGCTCTCATCACTTCCCTCAATAAAACGAACATGGATTACCTTCCAGTAACTTATCTGACTCGTTTCAGTCCAAGATGGCCCTCTCTCCGCAGCTGGTACATCACAGCACGACCCGTCTTCCACGTTGAAATAGCGCTTGCATGCCTCTTTAATATTTTGGATTGTTGGTTCTCCACCAAAATGAACACTTGCTAACGGCCCAATCCTTGCGTATTTTTGATACCTTCCTTCGACATGAGACGACAATCTTTGAACTGTGATATAGTGCATGTCCGACTTGGAACTTTTTTCTTCTTTTCTTCTCTTTTTTGAGATTCACTCCTTAAACTTTGCAAAATCCTCTTTGAAATTTCGTTTTGACATAGTTTAGAGCAGGGGTTCTTAACCTTTTGTTGGTCACGGACCCCCAAAACATTCTAATGAAAGCTTTGGACCCCTTTAGAAGAAACACATCGCAATTGTCAAAATTAGCTTTTAATTAACTTAGTAATATAGTCCAGAAATTTGCAGACCAAACAGAAGCAAATTAATAATTCAACGAATAATAATGAATAATAAATCAATTACCCTGTTCTAATCGGTCAATAGAAATACGTAGCCTACTGTAGATATTCTTATTTGGATTTGCGGACCCCTTAAAGCACCATCATGGACCCCTTAGGGGTTCATGGACCCCAGGTTAAGAACCCCTGGTTTAGAGAAACAGCCTTCGGAATGGTAGCAATTTCAAAGTGTAAATAAATATAAATATTCAAAATTCCAAAATATATCCCACGTGCGAATATGGACTGCTTTGTTTGTGTTGAGCTATACTTCATGTCATTTAATTAAAGAGAAAAATTTAATATTTGATGCTTATCACAGGCTATGGCACTCATAGGCCATGGCATTTGATTGATTCAGTTTATTTTTGGAAAACTGAACGGATTTGGAGAAAAAGCAAAACTTAAACAAAACAAAACTGAAACAGAACTATAATTGAACTGTTAAAAAATAATTAATTCAAACTGTGAAATAGATCAAGCTTGATTTGTAAATAAATAGAAATGAAATAATATTAATAATGGAGTGGAAGCACTAGAAAACTGAAATAAAACTATAATTGAACTGTTAAAAAAATATTTAATTCAAACTGTGAAATAAATGAAGTTTGCTTTGTAAATAAATAGAAATGAAATAATACCAATAATGGAGTGGAAACACTAGAAATTACTATGGCACTCATAGGCCACCATAGTTATACTGATATTGGGCATGAACTTGAAGGTGTGGCGGATATCGAACGTTATCGGAAGTACTCGCTAGACTTACGGACGATGCAAAACTGTTTAATCAGCAATATCCCGCCCATATAATTGTGACTTGGTGGTTTTTTTACATTTATGCTAAAATCTTGGAAGTTTCATGTTAGAAATAAACCTTCGTGCTTTTCTGAAAATTTTCAGTTAAGAAAATATCATGAGCTTATAATTGCTAAAGAATACATTTAAATTTACTGAACAACTCGCAAATTTCGATCTATGATTAGCACTGGTAGGGGCGAAACTTGAACTTTTTGTTAGAAAGCGGTGGATATGGGAGGAATTAAATGCTCTGCAAAAAATAAGAATACGAAACATCCTACAGAATTGCGACAGAACGAAAGGCAGGTGCAGGCCAAACAGTTGTTCAGGCAAAGCTTTTCACCAAAACTGAATTCACAATCAATTTTTCCAAAAACTATTATTGTGTCAAATAAAATTCACTTAATATGGATAACTGTTTTAATCTATCCAAATATATCGTTTTTCAATTTTCTCTGAAAATTAAATCTTTGTCATGTAACATTTTAACAGTTTGAGGTGAGAGTCATCCCTTCAAAGCCATATTAAAATTTCGACTCTGATGATTTGACATCAAGAAATGTGAGCACGCGAATTGCAGTGTGTCATATTTCCAGTTTACGTATACGTAATACAAAACAATGTCAAACTCAAACCAGTAAGTAACCTGTAGAAGGTAACACTAATGACATGCCAGGTACATCGATTAAAGAAAACTGGAAGGAAGCCAATTACTAACAATAATATTTATTTTTGTCATATTTATGCGTAGAGCCACATATTGAGCCTTCCTAACACTTTTTTTGTGAAATTATTAGACGTCAAGTCAAGACTCAAGATTTGATAAATGATTAAACAAACATTAGACTTTTTATGACACAGTTTTCAGCATTTCATCATAATGTCAAAGATAAAGTGCATCTGTTGTTTAGTTGAAAGTTGAAACTCATATTTAAATTTCGAATATTGTCCATGGAGTTTTTAAATCATAAGTGTATAATATCGATATATTTTGCAGTTAACTAAAATGGAACTTCTATGTAAAATTGTCTGGAATCCTTAATGTTTTATGAAATGGTTCACACAATCAGATCATATTTCGATATAAAAGTTAGGAGGATTTTATTGAATAAACTTTTCTATATTTTAAAACACAGAAATCGTTCTTCTGAGAGTCAAAATTATTTGGTTAAAATTTCTACTAGGAAAGTAAACAGATACAAAAAATAAAAAAATTCTTTTTATCTCATAAATCAAGCAAAAATGCAGTGTTGAATTACTAAATGATAAACAGATGGCGCCCCATAGTTGGTCACGTTGTATCAATACTACGAAGTTCGTTGAAATATGCCCAATAACCTCAGAAACCATTTTTCGCAGCAACATCAATATAGATACTTTCCATAAAACTTGCCTTTACAAGTTACAACAGCAAATGGTGAGCGCAAAAACAGAATTTCGGGAATTTATTGTTGATACAATTTTGATAGGGTCAACTGTTACAAAAGGCTATAATTTGATCATGCATGTTTTCAAGCAATTTAAAGTTTCAAACTTTTAACTGCTCAAAAATGGGAGGGAGCAGGAGACATTTCTCCAAAACATTTTTTATGTACTGGAATAAATGATATCTACCTACTCCCCTTCCTTATTCTTCAGGCTGAGACTACGGTAGGTATTTTTATGTAGACGACCGACGAGAAAGAGTTTTAGGAGAAGTAAAACAAAGAAAACCCATCTTCATTAAAGAAAAGAAATAGTAAATCGAAAAACATAAGTTATATCGAAAAAAGTTTTTTTCGTATTATGATAAGTACAATACAAGAAAATAAAAAGAACGAAACGATTCTATTTTTGAATATTATTAATTCCCATTGAGTGACCGATAGTCTATACAAAATAATGTTTTAATATCCAACATGACTAGTACTCGAATCAATACTATTCAAATCAACTGTATTCAAATTGGCATAGAGATGTAGTACTTCCAGGTTACTTTTAAGATGTAAGAGTGCTACTTTATATCCTTGGTAATATAACTCTCCATCGCCAGAATCCCTTTCCCTCCAAAAACCCAGGAAAATTATTAGACAAAAGCAATGTATTTCAGTACAAGAAGACATACGCACAGGTGAAAAACTAATGGCGATGAAAGATTGAATGGGAGAATGCCTGTATGACTGATTGTGTTTAGCGGCAAAAGAGTAAAAGGCAAGATCGCTTGCCACAAGATATATTTGTTCGTTGGAGAACAAGCTTTTGTTGTGCAGAAAATCAGAAAGCATGCAAAATATACTAAGTTTGGGAAGCGAAGAGAGTAAATTACAAAGATGTTTTTACAGGACTACATCACGCAAGCCTTATGTTGAGCCATAATCGCCAAAAGTATTGGTAACAATTGGCATCGATGAATCTCTGTGAAAGTGATTTGGTTAATCAATAAGGTCAGAAGAAATATCATCGACGTTCTCAGGTTTAAAGTTATCAGACGTCCTTTCATTTGCACCACAGTCATCGTTTTGCCCTTCACTAGATTCAATTAGGATAAATTCTTCCTTCTGCTTTTGAAAATGCCCGTAGTCCGCAAGTAGAGGAACTGGTAACGAGTTCGGTAGCTTATTATCACTTGAGGTTTTTGTGTTGGGTGTAAGAGATGTAATAGCCGTGTCGATGTGACTGAATTCGGAATCCTGTTCGATTGTTGAGCCATGAAATGTTAAAGTTCCTTTCAAGATGTCACGAACCTGGAAGCACATAGTGAAGATGCAGGTTGTCAATATATTGTATCAGCATATCGATATATAAAAGACAACTGTCTCAGCTCATCGTTTTACCTGTTTTAGACCAGCCAAGGACAAGTATACAACATCCATAAATTTCTCATCTTGAGTTATTTGTTCTTGTAGATGATCTAAATAATAAGCACATTAGCAAAGACACTATAATTTAGAGGCAAATATATATGAAGAAACACTCAAAATACAAAGTTACGGATTTTCCAATTTACAAGTTATCTCGTACAGCCATAACCTCATTTAATGCCATTTCGAAAATAATCGTACAGGCATTATAGGAGTGAAAGCCAAAAAGTACATCAAGCACCAATCAATATTTTATATAAAAAAGTGATAAATGAAAGCATCGTACTTATGTAGGTGTCCATTTTAGAACCACAATAGATCGATATTGACTGAAGTTTATCTACTTCCGCTTTGAAATGAGAGACTTGATCTTGAAGACGTTCATGGTCCTAAAAAATATCAAACACACGCTTGTTTGAATGTTCCCTGTTAAATTTATAGACATGGTGATTTAAATAAAATTGTTAAGTAACGGCAACTGTTCAACGAAGAGTAAAGGGGTTTTATCAAGTTACTAAGTTTTATACGTACCAAATACTTTTCAAAAAGGCCGCAAAGATATTTTCAAAAAATTTTTTTCTCAATCCATTAAAACTATTTAAGTTTTCACGCAGCTGTAGATGAGATTGATTTATTTTATGTAAGTATAATTTTTCAGCCTTTACAAAATTTGAAAAATAATAGAATAAACTTGATTTTATTTAGCCACAAATTCCGGAAACAACAAATTTCTCTAAGAAAATAAATTACATGGCTATAATAGTACGTTTATTCGATTTATCTAATGTTTTTGTTTGATTTAGTCTAGTTTTTGTCATGACTTAGCTTGTCGTTTTTTGCTGAGTTCTATTCAAATAAAAATATTTGCATTTCAACGATTGGTTTTTGCATATGAAAGTAAATTAAAGTGCATTGGAGCACATGCAAATAAGTTTTCATTCTGCAACAAATATGAAATATTCTGTAAAGTAGGACAAATTAGCACATCAGAAGAAAACAATTGCACAGTTTCTACACATCAGAAGAAAACAATTGCACAGTTTTTACACATCAGAAGAAAACAATTGCGCAGTTTCTACACATCAGAAGAAAACAAATACACAGTTTCTACACATCAGAAGAAAACAATTGCACAGTTTCTACACATCAGAAGAAAACAATTGCACAGTGTCTACAGATCAGAAGAAAACAATTGCACAGTTTCTACACATCAGAAGAACAAATACACAGTTTCTACACATCAGAAGAAAACAAATAAACAGTTTCTACACATCAGAAGAAAACAATTGCACAGTTTCTACACATCAGAAGAAAACAATTGCACAGTTTCTACACATCAGAAGAAAACAATTGCACAGTTTCTACACATCAGAAGAAAACAAATACACAGTTTCTACACATCAGAAGAAAACAATTGCACAGTTTCTGCACATCAGAAGAAAACAATTGCACAGTTTCTACACATCAGAAGAAAACAAATACACAGTTTCTACACATCAGAAGAAAACAATTTCACAGTTTCTACACATTAGAAGAAAACAATTTCACAGTTTCTACACATTAGAAGAAAACAATTTCACAGTTTCTACACATCAGAAGAAAACAATTTCACAGTTTCTACACATCAGAAGAAAACAATTGCACAGTTTCTACACATCAGAAGAAAACAATTGAACAGTTTCTACACATCACAAGAAAACAAATACACAGTTTCTACACATTAGAAGAAAACAATTTCACAGTTTCTACACATTAGAAGAAAACAATTTCACAGTTTCTACACATTAGAAGAAAACAATTTCACAGTTTCTACACATCAGAAGAAAACAATTGCACAGTTTCTACACATCAGAAGAAAACAATTGCACAGTTTCTACACATCAGAAGAAAACAATTTTCACAGTTTCTACATACTTGCTGTAAAGCAGTGATGTCAGTTCGACTTGGATGACGAACTTTCGATGATAGTTTTGACAAAAACGCCGTGCTGGCAGATGTTCTGTTGGATCTTGGTGACATCATAAATAAATCGTCATCATCAGGATCACTGGGGAACATGTGGGATGACGGGGATGACTTGTTGTTCTCTAAATTGTTCGCAATATTACAACAATGCACAAAATTCTTCGTCAACAGTGATTAAAATAAACAAAATCATGTGAACATTCACCATAAAGAAAAATATTTCCAGACTCCAAGAAATTTTTGCCAGATAGTATAAATATTGAACAAACAACATTACACGAAAATAATTTCATTCAAAGTTTTTCCATTTCAGCATTATACTTTTGATAAAAACTGATGATGATGAAATCAAGATATTTACCCTTCATTTCAACTGGTTTCTTTTTTTCATTAACAGAGGATTTATTTTCCAATCTGTTTTCAGCATTGTATGTATCATTGATTTCCGGTCCTCTCTTTGATGGAATTTGTCTGGTGCCTCGCAAGACAGCCTGTAATCCATTCGTTATTCTTGAATGAAAAGCATCTTGGTTCTGCAATAATTCATTTTGATTGAATGAAGAAGTCGCGCATGCGTATTTGAACTATTTTGTAGATTAACTTTGGCCAATGAAAGTAAGCACAAGAAAATTACAGACTTGACTGTAGTTAAACTATAAAAAGTAGCATGAAAAAAGTAGGAAACAGTAATAGTTCTTGGAGAAATAGGAAAAAATTATTATTTGTGAATATCAAAATATATTGTCTCATATTACACAATGCACCATTAAGTCTAAAGATAGAAATTTAACAGAAATACAAATTGTTCAAAATTCCAACAATTTCCACTTAAATTATTCAAAATAGGCAATACATACGGGAAACTCAGGAGCGACAGATGACTTTAGTTGTTCTTTTGCCAGATAAACCATTTTTCTTTTAGGATCAAGCTAGAAAAATATTCAAAATACATTAAAACAAATTCACTTGAGCCGCCAACATCTCAGAGACAAAGTTAAAGTGGAACTATGATCTTCGTGTTTTCTTTCATTTAAGAAAATTTGACTGCGTGGTGTGACTGTAAAAAGAAAAAAATCAATTCGAGGGACTATTTATCTTTTTATGGAGGTTTAAAAATGTCATTTTTTATTTCCGTTTTGTTCCACGGCGTGTTTGAGAGCGTGACGTAGATAGGGTAAGCTGTTCACATCTTCAAGCATGTGTTTGAATAACAAATAGTCGGTGAAAGTGTTTTCTCGTTGAATTTCAAAGGTAATTATGACAAAAGGTTCGTGGCAGTTGGATGTAGCAATTTTCCAGACAAAAAAGGGGTATTTCAGTTCATCTTATACCATTTTTTGGCGATGAGCGTGTCGAAATTTCACCGGCCAAATCTCTCACGAAAGACGTTGATTTTATTGAAAAGCTGTCAAATAAACAAATAAATATCTCAAAACCCTACTAATTTAGCATTTTTTCTACAATATGGTGTTTTCATCAATATAGTAATGCATCCAAAATGATCCGATGATAACACTATAAAAAAGATTTCAAACACAAAATCGTCATTAAAGTGAGTTGGTAATTTATTGTTAATACAACTCCATTAGTCCGTTAACAATTGTTACTGTAATGGGTTATGTCTTAATAAAGTGCACACAAAAATAAACAAGTGTTGTTACATTTTCTTCTTTTGCTGCATACCAACGATAAATAGACGTAGTCGACTAAATCCAAAGAGAGACCATCAGCAAATATACCATCCCAAAGGGTTAAAATATCTTCCATCGTAGTAAACTTACGACCATACAACAATCGTACCCATCGTCTCTAATAAATCAACCAGAAAAACGATATAAAGTCTACAAAGTCGTTCTCGATGCAAAGTACAATCTTAACACACTTTGCATTTTCTACGCCTTTAATTCGTCCCTTCTAAACAAACCCCGCCAAAGTTTTCTCAATACCGAAATTCTAACAATGTTACAATTGCAAATAGTCAGTTTCTTTGAGAATGGTGCAGTCCTTCTGTAGTAATTCAGACAAAATTGAAAGCTGCCCAATGTCTTTCATAATGGCTACGTCTTCAACAAACTCTATCGTCTCCATTCGTTTTGCTAATCCAGCATAGGTTGCTTTGTGCTTGTCTTTAGACTGTGAAAGTGTGTAGAAATGCTTCTACATAGCTGGATAATTTCTCCAAAAGATTTCACTGCACGAGACGAGGATGCAACCCATCTAGTTGTCAAAATTTTGTCGACTTTGCGCAGTTGGTTATCCAGTTCTGCAGCAATAATTTTTAGTTCTCTCTGCAATTTAGCAGACTGAGAATAAATTGCATAAATCTTACCAAAGAATCTATTGAGATTAAGGTAACTGTTTTTAACTGGTTCAAACGAGTTTTGTCTTTCTTACATTCAGAAAAAGTTTATTAGTTTGTTTAAGCAATTTTCCCTAAAAATTATTCTTCAAATTATAAATCTTGGATTTCTTCCTTTGGAAATCTCCCAAACTTATTTCTTAAAATAAAATCCACGAACAATACCAACAGCCTCAATAAAGTCCGATAAAGCCCGTGATAAAGTCCCAAGTCCGATCAGCATAAAATCGAGAAGATGGCAACAATGTGCTACAGTCTGAATATGCTCAAATAGTTTAGCGAATAAACTATCATTCTGGTAAATATTTTTTATCGTGCAAGCACCTTAGATGTTTTTTGATCCGTCCCTAGTTATGCACATTTAATAGTAAGCTCAATTTCCTTGTTTCTTTAAAATGTTACTGAACTCATGAAAAGCTTAAAAGTTTAAACTTTTATTCGCGACTGTAGGTAGGTCATAGTGTGGTATGCTTTATTCAGTAGAATTTTAGTCTTACTTGTGACGTTTCTACTAATTAGTACCAACCATTCGTTTGATCTCGTTCTACTTGTCACTTGGTTTGAAGAGCGTTACTCATACAAAATTATTAGTTTTAACATACAATTATGAAATATTACAGCTTTTCGAATAAGGCAAATGTTTCACACACATACAACCATGTGCTGGAAATTATTGATTCATTGTACGAGTTTTACGTAAATAAAATTGTCAAGTAAGTCTGCCGTACAAACAGTGCATTAATTACCAATAATACAAATTAAAGAAGATAAAAATCCTAATTAACTTCAGTCTGTTGTGCTTCATCTGTTTGCGGAGGTGATATCTCCTTTGGAGGTCGATTTCGTTTAAAGAATCCAAGCTGAAATACATAAAATAACTTGTAATGTGAAATCTATTTTAAAAATCATTTGGCTACTAAACATTCCCCGGAGATGTTTGTGAGAACTTTCGAACAGGTGCAATTTAAAAGCCTGTGCAAACACAGTAAATATCTTATATTCCTTAAATGCTACATGCAGTGCACGAACAAAGATAAGACCTTTCCATGAGAAAGAAAATTAAGGAGTATAGCGTAGTCTTGTAGAGTGGTAAAAGAAATACTACTAACCATAACAACTATGTGACTGTGACAAACACGAATTACGCGACATCTACACATGAGTAAGTCGTGGTAAAAATTGATAAAACATAAATGGCCATCCTGACTTTAAAAAAAAAATTACGACTGCCAAAGAGTATTTTGGTAAAACACGACAATAGACACTCCGCAAATAGTAAACATAATTTAATCTAAACGTTCCGACAAATGTTACATGCCATCTTCAGTAGAAACTGTTTGCTTTTTGGCCTAAACTCCGCGTCACTTATCCTAAACTTCACCAACTTGCTGTTGCTATTTTAAAAAACAATTTCTACTGAAGATGACATGTAACACTTGTCGAAACGTTTAGATTAAATAATGTCTGCTATTTACGGAGTGTCTATGATCTTGTGTTTTACCATCCTGAATTTATTATAGCAAATTCAAACCTTATTAACACAAAACTTTTTGCTTACTTTGAATAAAGCGAAAATACAAAGAGCCAGTAACAAAACACCACCAAGCACAGAGACAATAATAACCCACACTGGAGTTGATTTGGATTTTCCAGGAGCATTTTCAGGAGTTACTCGAATTGTGACCTACAATAAACGATATTGTAAAAAACAACAGTTCAAACAAACTCAGAACGCCTTCCTTAAGGGTAAACCTGTATGAAAGTTATCAAACATGTATAAAAATTCGCATGTTTAAGAAAAGTAAAATTGCTAACCTCCTGATGTCCACGATGAGGTGATTCGCTCTCATTAAGATTGTTGACATATTCAGCATTAAATTGGACAATCATGAGAAGATCTTTAGGATAATACTAAATCCGTATAATAAAGTTGCAGATATTAATGGCAAAGTTTTGCAAATTTCAAAAATACTTATGGCAAAGTTAGGTAGTTGATAACGCAAATACCAATATACCACCATCAGAATACCGGTAAATACAGGTATACCGACATCAGAATACTGGTATATACAGGAATACTAACATCAGAATACCGGGACATACAGGTATACTGACATCACAATACCAGTATGTAAAGGTATACCGACATCAAAATACCGGTATATCGATAGTGAATTTGAAGTTTATTCTTTGAAAAATAAAAAGCATATAGCACGTGTTTCCACGAAAAAAAAACAACCAAAAAATATTTGTTCTTCAAATAGAATTTTGACGCCTTTTTTTAAAATAGGTATTTATGTATTTGTCTTTGAATTGCTAAACCAAAACTGCCGAATCGTAAGATGTATTTATGAACTAGGACAGTGACTATCGCCTGGCTGCATGTTTTAACTTTAGTTTGTAAACGTGATTGTGATAAGTTCTACTGGACGAAACTTTCATTTCGTTACTACGCAGTATAAAATACCGAAATATCCGTATTCATGTATACAAAATATCACCAAAAGCCGATTTCAAAACAAATTTTGACATACCGGATTTCAATAATCAACTCTCATTCAACTACTGTCTGTGTTGGGAAGTTGTTGATGCAACACACCTCGTCAAAATATTTTTGGAAGTAAGAAATGTATTACCACAAATGTTCATTTATTTTATGCCTTACCGCAGCAAGAGTCGCAGTCCACAGTCGCACATTTAAGTCTGCCACAAAACGACCCTTTCTTTTAATTTCTTTGATTGTACAGGTCACCAGTCCTGAATCCATCGTCCGAGGTGACTAGAAAGAAGAAAGTTTGACAACAATGAAAAAAATTGAATCAAAGGCATTGCACCTGACTCGCGGATGAGATGAAAACAAAATCGAAGCAGTTTGAATGTTTTGATTAAAACAGACTAAGTAATTCATCAATATTACTTGATGAACAACGATACAGGCAAAAATAACGCGTTTTTTGTATTTGGCAAAACACATAATTTAGACTCTAGAAGACACTTTTAAAGTGAAGTATTCTTAACACTTGAGAAGAACTCGAATATCTAAAGCTTTAGGCAATAAAACAAATAATAAAAAATACTGTGGATAATTTATCTAAAAAGTTCCAGTATAAGTTGTCTGTTGTTATTTTGCCACTTCTAACCCGGCTGCAAAAACTCCAAGCCATTTCATACAAAAACGAGATTTAAATCAAAGTAATTGCACTATCGCCTCACAAACTTGGGTCAATTTTCAGATATTTTGCTTTCGTAGTGGTCGATCTTATTTTATTTAAACCATTGTCTAAGATAAACTGCAATCGTGACCATACCAGGGTTTCTGTATTTCTTCTCCGTCTAGTTCTTCCTTGCGAGTCCTGATAAAAAATATGTCGGTGACAAGGCATCCACGAATTTGAATTTTCTTAAAGTGCATATAAAGTGAAAGTTTCATACACTTGAACAAATATTCAGACTAATAAAATAGAGACTTTGTCGTGGTGACAAATCTAAAAATACGTCTAAGTGGTATTTGCTATCTTTAGAACTATTTTCAAATATTCAGACGTTTACAAGGATTTTGATATATTTATGACCAATACAAGTTGAGTGAAAAGTGACAAAGTTAAACACCCAAAGTCGTCCTCGCCTGCAAACTTTTGGCCGCTCATCTGACGTCACACAGAATACGGAAGTCGCCAAGCTAATAGTAACTGCTATTTCAATGGTGAGAATGTGTACTTCTTATGATGAAAATTTAGCTAACATAGCAGCCAAAAGTTCGCCAAAAATTGTCAAAATCGTCAATTTGACAGCTATAAACTCGCTCTGAAAAGACTACATTTAATTGCCTTGGCAAAAACGGGTTTGACAGCAAGTAGTTTTTACAAAGCCAATAAAAAAAGGGAACAAACTCTTAACTAAGATAGCACTTTAAATGGCTATAAGTTGAATATAATTAAAATAAAATATGAGTAGAGACATATATTTAACATAGAATCAAACTATGTGCTTATATTTAACATATTAGGTGTTTGCATCGGTCGTTTTGTTGGTAGAAATCCCATATAGTGAAAAGAATTTATGTTGATTTCATGTTCTGTTGAGCATTGGCACTTTGATAAAACGTAAGACGTTTTAATTCTAATAAGTTCTTGTTATTTATAGACACAAAGAACGGCAAACTTAAAAATCTGTAACCAGCAAATGTGCAACTCGCAAAAAAATAATTAAGCTAAATACATGTTTGTAGATGTAGATCGTCCAGGTTAGTATAGTCCTGAAAAGGACTGTTGTTGTTGGTGTTGACTGACGTTTCGACAACCTTAGTGGTAGTCATCTTCAGAGTCAAGATGAGCTGAGGATAATTTGACTCTGAAGATTACTACCGCTAAGGTTGTCGAAACGTCAGTCAACAACAACAAAAATAGTCCTTCTCAGGATTATACTAACCTAAACCATCTACATCTACAAACATGTAACAATATTCCGGGGTTCAAAGCATTTACTTTACGTTAAATACATCGCGCAGTCTCAAACAATTAGTTTATTCCTGGTTATCCTTACCGCAGTTAAAGACAGGTTAGCAGGATTCAAGGCTCTTCCACTGCATTCTGCGTTGTTGGCATCACCTCTTCCCTGAAACGACATACGTAACTTAATGTTCATTAAACAGTTGGTAAAGATGTAAATAAGATTGTTTACAGAAACGTCTTAAACCTAATGCTTTATATCAAAAATTGTATGTGTAGTTTACATCAAACAAACAAAACATAACATTTATGACATAGAAACAACAATTTCAACATAGCCTTGTAAACATTTCCACCATAGCCTAGCAAACCTTTCCACAGTGCTTTACAAAAACTAAACAAAATTAAACTGTGAACTTTCCCATTCCAATAATCCACTTCGATAAATTCACAGAAAAACATCGCCGATGTAAAACATTGTCAAAATAAAAATCATACAACTGCCAGAACTGACCTTAATACTGACAGGATACAGAAGATAATTGAATTCCTTTGTCTTTTCGGTTAGAGGGACGCTTATATGAAGTTTCACATCTTCTAAATCACTTTGACCTTCATTTGCAACCTAAATGAAGTATAAACGTCGTGTAAGTAAACCTATAATGAGATCCAAAACAAAAATCAACTCAAAAGTTGACGGGCATTTATGTTAGGTAATATAATGCATGCATATAGAGGTACGTCAGATGTCTGATTTAAGTCATAAAAGCATCATCAAAAAGTCATAGAAATCAAATATATTGAGACAAGAAATTTAGAAATATTTTCAATGGCACCAAATAGCGAAGATAATTTTCTTTTTCATAGTTAGG